GGTTTGTTTTGTTTTGTTTTGTTTTGTTAATCTGGGCAGCATTTACAAACAATGATGAAGGCCCTGTTTCTCTCAAAACTTCAACTCAAGTCACAAAATCCGTGATGAATTTTACTTTCTGATGAGATACATGTATTAAAAAGAAATAGAGCAGAAAATACTTTCTTCATAGAAAATATTCAGAAAAGTTACAAAACTGAAACATAGGTTCCAAATTATTTCTGAAATGCAGCCACAGTGCCTCACAGGAGTATACTAAATAGGACTGTTCATGATCCCACCCTCCTGTCTAGACTGAGTGTCTTTTCTAGACTACATATCCCATCGTTCACCATAACCTATAGCACTTAATCAGTTTATTCAAAGGCAATGGTGTGTGACTGGTTATAAAGTTTCCAGGTCCAGTACTGGGCACAGAAAGGCAGAGGCTCCTGAGACAGCCAAAAACCAAGTGTGATGAAGCACCACAGTAGCACTTCAAGAAAATCAGTGTATTACTTTTTCCTTCCAGGCAAATTTTTGAGGTTTGGAGTAGTTTATGTGAACATCAGAAACGATTTTTTTGCTAATCTTCAAGAGCTCTACAGATTATACTCTTCACAGACTAAATACATGAAGCAGTATTAAATAAAGATCTCTCAAAGGTGGCAAGTGGACAAATAATCAGGGCACAAAAAGAAAAACTGTTTTGTGCAATGGTATAGAACAAACACATTCTCCTGTGGTATTCACAGAGGCACTGATGACTTAGACTTATTACTAAGATGTCAGTGAAAAGACAACAATACATGGTTTGTCTGTCCTGAAAGGCCAAAAGACTGAGTCAGGCATGAGAGCATTTAAACATCTGTTCTCAAAGAGTACAAATGTTAATGCTTATTGACAAAAGCACTCCTTCAGTAAAAGACACTGTAATTCACATATTTGCTCTGTGTTTTTCACTTGGCAGCAATTTGGCTGTATTTCTTTTCCAGAGAATAACGTATTATCAAAGTGTGGCCAAGTCATTTAAAAATTAGAATATCCATGGATCAGTAAGAATTTTTTTTTAAAAAAGAGCACTATTGATTACTTGAAAAATGTTCTTAAGTAGTCTCTTAAAAGTTTGGGGGATATGAAAGTATTTTCAGCTGCTATTCTGATGGGATTTCTTAAACAAAGATGTCTTCTATTGCTTCTTTCTTGACCTAAAAACATTCAGCGCTGGTGTATAACTTACATAATTTTCTAAGCCTACAAGTTCTGACAAGCTGCAATTCTGATTTGAGGTCTCACTGGTACTATAGTCCACTAATATAATTCTTCATAAGATTCATTTCTCTATATAAAGTCTACATAAAGTGGACTTATGTAAGACAGTAATCATGGTGCACTTTTAAATTTTAGATGTCTCAAGGAAATGTTAGTCTTAAAATCTTGGGATAAAAAAAAAGAATTCTAGCTAAGAAAAAAACTAGACATATTACTGGCTTAGTTCCTTAATGACAGGTTTCAAATTGTAGTTGCCAACAGGTATTAGGAAAAGATACATCACACAGGCATTACTGATCCTGGAAGGATCAGTTATTGATTTTCCTATTAATAAAATTAAAAGCATACACCCTTACTGCTAGAGATCACACAAGTATGAGAGGTATAATTCATAATAATCTAGAGTTATTTTTCCCATTTCAAGTGAAATAAGGATATGTTTTTCAAATATCACCAAATCTGAGGTCAGACATCTATGATAAGCAATTTATCCTTGGAATAAATCACTGAGGATGACTTGGTGGTCATTGTGAAAACCTCATTCAGAAACCACTGCATGATGGAGCTGAGAAACGTCTGAGATTCAAAGACACAATAAATTAACTCAAAGTAGGTAATTCAGAGGCATACTGCTACTCATTCAAAGGCGATAATTATTTACAAAGGGAATAGAAGCTTGAAAATAGATGATTTTACAGCTATGTGACAAAGTTCATATGCTTAACAGAACTGGACAGTTTTCTTCATTTTTCAGATCAAATGAAGTACTGCAGTGATTTCCTAAGAGCAGTGCAAATATTTAAGAAGGGCTTGCTGCTTGCTTACACCAAATACAGAAGACTGACACTTGAGGAACCTGAAACTATCCAACTGCTGATGGCAGTGGTCCAACGCATCCTTCTGACTCCGAGGCTCTCCCTTCCTCCACTTCTGGGTGGTCATCTAACCCTGCATGGAATGTTCCATCACACGAAACAAGGAGAAAAGCAATAGGAATTGTTTGTGTTATAGTTGCGGTGAAGTATCTGCTCTTTCACTTCTCAGATTTATTTTCTACCTCTTTAGCACGCTCATTGCAGCATCAGAGTCAGTGGGTAAGGTGTGTGAGGGGTTGTTTTCACCAAATCTCACATTCCCACAGTGTCAACAGTTTACGGGCTGGTTCGGCCCAGTTCCGTGACTAGCGGGGCGGAGGGATCCGCAGATCCGCGCCTCCGGAAAAAGGGAACAGGGGACCCCACAGTAATTAAAAGCAGCGGCAACGATCTGAGGAGAAACAAACTAATTTACTAAATACACTATCAAAATGCAAGATAACACACTATAATACAATATAATTAAATTTGAAGCTAATAAATCAAATATAATGAGAGAGAGAATGTCCGAAAAGTGGGTAGGCCTCACCACAACGCGGAGAGCTGAGGTGAGATGCGCAGTCCAGTTGAGCAGCAGGGAGAAAAGGGGAGGAGAGCCGACGAAGAGCAGGCTAAGAAGAGAGCATCAGGTGACCTTGCCAGGAGTTGTATCTCGAGACTCTCTGTGACCGCAAAGTCCCCTGGGGAATGTAGTTCTTCTTCTCTTCCAGGCAGGTACCCAGAGCTTGAGCACCAACAGTTAAACTCCCACTGCCCCACATGATGTTATGATGTGGAATACCGAAAACCAAAAAATCACAAAACCATGACACACAACTAGATTGCAATCACTAAAATTCACAGGAGGTCGGTTTAAAATGAATAGCAGCAATACTTCTTTATTCAGAAAATTGTGATCTTCTCTAATCTGTTGCTACAGGAAATTAAGTGGATAGAGTGTTGGTAGGTTCAATGCTGAATCTAAATAGCTGACAGTAGGTTCAAAAAGACAGTAAGGAGGAACATGCCCTCTTCTATCCCAACCAGTGACACTGGATGTTTTTACTGTGGTCTTACCAATTCATTATTGGCTAATAGGATTGCTAAAACTATTGTAAAACAGAGAGAAGTACCACAAAGTACAAAATTGAAATCAGGCCATGAAGCAATGTAAATGATCTACACATTAAGCTTAAATGGAAATATTCCTATTAATTTCACTGTAAGTTTTGAAGAAATCTCTTCTTATGATTCCTTTATACCATTTCTCAGAACTCTATCTTGCTTGCTAGCAAGTTCCTCTTTGATTTCATGTTGTTTATCATACTTAATCAAATGATCACATAAAAAAATCAATTTTCTAATGTTTGTGTTCAAAAAAATGATTATCCTTTTTTTTTCTTTTTTCTGAGAAAATTGTTAATGAACCATAAAACAATCCTACATATGATTTACCTCAAAGAAGGTACCTCCTGTTTTATTTGGCGCCAAATACTGTTTGTCCATTTTCTTCTTGGATAAACTAAATTTAGTAGAAACCACTTGTATATTGTCCTGTAGAACCTAATCACAGATTTCTTCTTTCACCTACTCCAGTGGGCTTTCCACCAGCTTGTAAAAACAAACTATTCAACAAATGCTCAGAAGGTAAGAGATGATTACTAGAAACAAGACTTTGCGTAGAGGTGTTCCATATTTGTCTTAGATCCTCTTGGATCAAGATATTTCTAGTTACAAAAGCATATTGTGTCTGAAATGATATTATTCTCTCCAAAATTATCTTATTTTGACAGTTACTCTACATGAACTAAATATTATATATCTGTGCTTTCAGACTTAGCATGCATTAGTGCCTGATTTTATGCTACTTAAACAGCACCATAACGAACAAACAATTCTACTGAATATTTAAAACAAATACATTAGAAAATCAAGTACAATCAAAACCAGCAGACTTAAAGATGAATATTGGTATGTTTACAGCTGAGGCCATATGATGGCCAGTGGTAGCCAAGCACATAGACCAGTGAATCAGGGATCACTTATACTCTTATGATCTGTTTTCCCTCTTGCTTTGTTTTCTGACTGGCAAACCTGGCAAACCACAGTTACTGGGGATTCAGAAACTGCTGTGAAGCCAGTATATTTTTCCTACACAGACCCATTGTGTTCAGTGGATTACAGTGAGTCTTAAGTCTTAAGCAAACAAAAATTGAAAGAGCCTAAAACTCGCAGTTTATCATACTGTATTCAAGACTGAGTGCTAAAAATGCTCCTGTGTACTGTTCTGCTAAAAGAACAGTGATAGCCAGGGTATTTGGGATTGTTTCTTTAGAAATGTGCTAGCTCAAGCTTCAGAAATAAGGTTAAGCAGATTTTTTTGGACACTTTTTTTTTTTTTAGAAAAAGGTTGAGATTCAGCAACTTGAAAAAAGAAAAAGATATTTGCTTTGGTTTCAGTTAAAGTGCATTTTGTGTAACAATTTCAAAATAGAAAGTTTCAATTTTTCCACAGAAGATTTCAGTGTAAAAACTCTTTCAGCTTTTGTTTTTAATTAAATCTTCAAACTTATTTCCAAAGAATTAATAAATGTGAGAAAGCTCTAATTTTGCTTTTGTTCTTTTTCTTTTGCTTCCTTTTTTTTAAACTTTTCGTATAACGAATTTAGGAGGAATATTGCAAAAGTAAGAGAAAACATTGCAAAGATATCATACCTCTAGTCTCAGTGGTTAAAAGTGATGAAAACTTCAAATTAGTTAGTTTCCTGCTCCCGTAGGTGCTGCGGTTTTGAGGGCAGTGAGATATTTGCATGTGTCTGATTATGTTGAGAAAAAAAACCACTATTAAAGTTAATTCAATATTCAGAACACCTCATTTATTTTAAAATTTTGTTCCACAATTAAAATTGCTTTCAGATCCTCTCCCTATTCAGAATAAGTAGAAAAGGGTTTGAAACAAAACTATTACTCTGAGCAAGTATTGTTTTGTCATAGAATCATAGAATCCTTAGAGTTGGAAGGGACCTCTGAGGGCCATCTGGTCCAACTCCTCAGTTTGGAGGAGTTTGAAGTATGATCCTGGCTATTGTTTTTCTAAGAGTCCTTAACTTTATGTTTTGATCCAAAAAATGTTCCAGGTGAGATGGTTTTGCTCTGAAATCAGATGTTAGCAGATGTCAGCTACCTGTGGCAGAGCAGGTAGGCTTGCAGCAGAGTCTTTGCATGCCAAAATCTATGTACTATCAGACTTGTGTCAAGTCTTGTGGTCTCTGCAATACTCCATTGCTCCACCACCTTTCCCTGGAACACCTCTCCTGCTGCAGCAGACACCAGCTGGCAAGTATTTCTGCAATGAGACAAGCTGGGAGAGCTGATACACAGGTTTCCAATGCAGAGAATTGTCACATTGCCCTGTAGCTATATGAGCATTGCATGGTATGGCTGTGGGTTGCAAGAAGCCCTAGCATAACATAAAGTTATGGAAGCCGTGCAGCATCACCTACTGCCACAGGTTCACATTCAGATCAGGTGTGCAGACTCCACGGGCCTCATCTGTGTCCTCACCTGTGAGCTGCAGCACAAATGCACCTTTGACAAGCCCACAGTATTCAGGGCTCTACTGTATGGGCACTTTTAGGAGTAGACCACATGGATGTTATGCAATAGCACCATCTCAGTTATTGTTAACAATCACAGGACGGAAGAATCTGTCTGATTTCAGCTGTTATTACGTGTAATTCTGAGAGATTTGAGGTCATTACACTTTTCAAGTAAGGCCAAGAATCACGCATCCGAGCTGAGATACCAAAAAAGCAGTCTGATTTGCAAAAGCATTACCATGACAATGCCAGGTACTTTTAGACATGCAATTTCTAAGTTAAACCTTACACAGCTAGCCTAGATCTTGCATTAAATTCCATTTCTAAGCCTCCAAATTAATAATGATAGTTTTTCAAATGTCATCTTCCAGACATCTCTCTGGGGAAGCTCCCAGAGGCTTAGATTCAGTCATCATGGTTGGGGCTGATTATCTAGTGAAATATGTCACAAAACAATGGCACTCCAACTTTCCATAACGTTGATTTGAGTAAAAAGGAATATTGCATACACTTTCTTTCACAGAAAGAGGCAAAATATTTCTTACATCCATTCACCAGGTAAATTCAGGACTAGTTGGACAAGAGGCAACATGAAAAGCAGAAGAGAAAAATATCCCCTTTCTAACTGCCTAAAGGCTTTCCAGCCAACATGTGTGACACAGAACTTTGATTTCATCTTTGTTGTGTTTTCCTGCCATGACTCCAGATCAACACAATAGCATCTTGTTCCTGGCAGTAAGGAGCCAGTGAAGGACTCTCCAGAAGTTAAATCAATGTGTTTGGAAGCTCCTCTTTTTTTGGATCTCTTGGTAATTTAAAAAAAAAAAAAAAAAAAATTCAATTAAAAAACTTATTTGCTGCTGTATGCTAGATGAAATAATACCCAAGGAATGTTATAAGCTACACTTCACATTTCAGAGCCAAACTCCGCTTGCATTCCTTTTAAAATATCACACTTTTTGCCTCTTTGGGTAAGAGTATTGGAAACTTATTATTTTCATTTTCCATAATAATTTAATTTTAAAATATCATAGATTCAACTTCAGATGAAAAATGAACTGCCAAGAACTGCATAATTTCTAAGAAGCTTTGAGAGATTCAGAATACGAAAACCTGCCTTCTTTGTACAGTAACATGAACCTCTTCAGTGAACTAAACACTGAGACGATTTCTTCACTTGAGTTTTGAAAAACCTCATAAAAGGCTCTGGTGAAGACAATTAATCACATATGTAATTAATACTTGCAGCTTAAGGAACATTTTCTATCAGTGTGGAGACAGTTTTATCTCAGTAGGGGCAGTTAATGGAAAGACTCCTGTTTTCAGCAGCAATTTGATGAAACTTTTATGACCAATTCTCCTTTTGGGGCCTCCCAGAGGTCTCTCTTCAAACTCGTGCTTTTACTGCAGATTGAATGTAGAAGGTACATAGAAGATAAACAAAAAAAAAGGGGAGGAGTGAATGTTTTAAGAATGTTACTTGGGGGAGGGATGAATATTTTATATTTGAGAGGGAATTCTATTTCAATTGTTCAAGAGAAATCTTGTCCTCTTAGAATTAAACAAGGCTTCAGGGAGCAGGGACTTAGTTTGCTCCTGACAGCTTTTCCTGAGATTTCTTATCTGGATCACTTAAGCATTGTGATGCTGTGGTATGTTTCAGAATAAGTTATCAGATACCATTTACTTGAATCAATAATCTTTTGCACAAGGAAGAAATCACACAAATTATAATGACAGATTCATGGGGGGGGAAAAAAAAAAAAAAAAGAAAAAAAAAGGAAGAAAAAAAAAAGAGAGAGAGAAAAATCTAGATCAGTTCAACTGAAATGGCATAACTGCCAAAGCCCAGCAACCTTCTTTTCACCAGCATGGCACCACTACAGTCCTTCAGGCATAATTTGTTCTGAAAGCAGTGCCTCCTTTTTATTTCCATGGAAACTACTACAGATACGAAGAGCACAATAGCACTATTTGATAAAGCAAATTCTCAGATACAAAACACTGTTTTTCAATATACTCACCACAATAAATTGTGCACTTTTACCAGTGATGAAGAAGAGCCTGAATGCCACAATCATGTACATCTGCATGGCCATCCAGAACATGGCTTGTCTTTCACATCACTGTCACCACTGCTGAAATTCACCACCCACAGCCTCACATCCACTGTTTGGTCTGCATAAAAATTTACACTAAGATAAAATGAAAATTGATTGAGCTATCTTCTTTGCAGTGAGTTTTGTTTGGGGGGAAAAATAAAGAAGAAGGCCCTGAAATCCCCCCACCAAACTTAGTGTTCTCTTGTGTTTCTTATTCGTTGTTCCTTTCCTCTCATTTTTGTTCGGTTTTCAGAGAAGACCCAAATTCCAAGACCAAAATATTCATGGCTTTTTACATTCCATTGGAAGCCTCCAGTCCAATGTTGGTCACGTTGCTGTTCTCTCTATCAGTTTGGCTATTGCTTCAGTGAGGATTTTCCAGGGCTGGATTTATCAAGTTGCTCATGTCTTTTGTGGATGCTGTCCCAAGAAAAGTGTCATCTTGACAGCAGTTCACAGATTTACTGTATGCTTTCAGTAAAACAGATTTGAAGCAATTCTTTCCAACCCAATACAGATTTTCATGCTCACAAAATTCTGTGATTTCATGTACATATGAAATGAATGATAAATTATTATTCATCTGTGCCTAATTGTCTCTTCTAATAAAAAGTAATAATCAACTAATCAACTAATAATTTTAGTTGATTTCCTTTTTTTTTCCTCTTTTTGTTTTCCTTTGCGTTCTGTAGCTTAGTTATGGCACATTTAGATACTAGAAGGGAGATGGCTTTTGCACCTAGAGTATTAATCGCTGTTTCATGAGAAAACAGTGAATGCAGAGAGAAAAATTTCCTGTCACCTGAAAAAAATAGGAAACCTGATATTAACAGTAATAATACAATGCAGCTTCCACATGAAACTGCTATGAAAGTGCAAGAAACTTTGTCATCTAGCAGATTAAAATCAGACACCTTAACACTTCTTTCGTGGCCTTATAGGTAACTTCTCTCTGGACATATATATATCAAATTATATCTGCTGAGGTTGAATGTCTACAACTTTATAAGTCTGAGTAAGGCTATAGTTTTATAGCACCCTTTGAGCTTTGAGTTCTTTTTATTTGATGTCATTATATATGTAACCGGATGGATTTAAGCAATATCATTTTGTATGTTAATAGGGATGCATACAAAGTTTTTATATTTTGTGAATGGGCTTGAAATGTTCATTTATAGGAATCAGTCAACCAGAAATACTATGTAAAAACATTAAAGCCAGCAGGTATTAAATATTTTACTAAACTGGTTTTACTTAATCCTGGATTACATTGGTTCTACAGAAAATGCAAATCAAGCTGACATTTCCTCATTTGCATTACAAGCTTTCAGAAACACTGTGGTTACTAGAAGTGCTGGCTTAGCTATTAATCATATAAGTGTTGCTTTATGTGAGTACAAGTGCACAAGATTTTCCAGCTATGAGAATCTGGTCTGAGATCCAGAGGCAATAGGAGTGAAGAATATTATTAGAATAAAGTTAAGATCTGAAAGTCAGTGCTATGGCAATTGGTCCAAGTTGAATGCATACTAATGAATATTTTTAAACATGTTAGCAAGTAGGAAAATAAATTCAGTGTTTATAAGATGGGGACCTCTACCCGACACGGGGAGTTTTTCAGACTGTATTTGTTCCCAACACAGCATTAAATGTGTTCGAAAACTCAGCTCTTTGCCTTACATCCCTGGCTTACATATCTAACTGCAAGGGCCTGATAAACCAATCCTCCAATTATAGAGCTTGAATGCTCTAATCACTGGAGGGGCAGATGCTGCTGAAGGGATCCAGCAAAACTCTGGTTTAAACACAGTTAGTGGGCAGAAAGTCTTGTTTCAAAGCTCATAACTGTTTCAAAGTTCATAACTTTCCTCCACAAACAACATGTGAAGTAAAGCATTTGCTTTAAAAGCATTATTTCAGATGTCTCTTGCAATCTAGTACTTCATCTAGTGTTACAGTTTTCTGACTTACTACCTCAGTAACTCACTGCCACAAGCATAACAGCAGACTCCAGAAGTAATGCACACGGGTCTCTGGACAACATGGTGGAGAGAAAGAGTCACAGTAAATCCAAGTGAGGAGACCTAAGGAAAAGGGTACATGGGCAAGGGGGACAATGATCATAGAGAGAATCAGCTAATGCAGAAATTGGTTTTGAAAGGCAAAAGGACAGAAAAAAAAAAAATATTTGAAGAGAAGAATTGGAGGAGTGAAAAATGAGTAATATTATATTGATTTATGACTGTACCAAAAACTGTGAGCTGTACTTTTCATCGGCGACAAAAGATTCAGAAAGGAAAGGGAGTTTCTCCAAGAGGCAGTGTTTCTGTCAAAACACAGTGCACATCATGAGAATGTATGAAACCCACAGCTTAGAGATGTGACAGTACCTCGTAAATTCTGTCTGCAAATTCAGTGCAAATTGGCATCAGAAGCAGTATAATCCAAAGGGCTGTCAACACAAGGTAATCAAAAGCATATAGGAAGTTTCCATGCAAACAGCCTAGATTATTTTTCATTTTCATTTCTGGCCTGTTTGATTACAGAGACAAAAAAGAAAAAAAAGTATTGTTTTATTAGCATTCCAACCAACAGCTGTTTCACCTGGGCCAACAATATGCCTTATACCCTTACAGGGGCAGTTTTGCTCATCTTCTGCAAGCAACGCTTCTTGGAAAGATATTGGAATGGGAAGATTAATGTCTAATTGACTTCGACAATAAGTATTTTCAAAAACAAACTGCAGTGCCATTAAGAACATAAACAACTCAATATTGAAATTGCAGATGTTTCTTGCCCGATGGGGAAAAAAAGTAATTTCTGTAAATATTGACTATTAGAATAAACAAAAAAATGCTTAGATGCTTGAGATTATGTTAAGCAACAGTTATGCTGTCTTCAAATGCTGTGTGCATTTTTTTTCTGCATGTGGAATATACCAACTGGAGATTATGCCAAAAAAAAAGTCACATTCTTTTAAAACCACTAATGATTTTGTCTCTTCTGTTTTCAGATGCCCCGTGATGGCTGGATTTGCAGGTTCAGGGGTGTGAATTTGGAAGATACTTAATGATTTACAAAGATGATTAAAACATTCTTTTCTGAAAATGCATAAACTAGACATGTCCAGCAATGTCCATGCATGGAAGAAAAGGAGTATTTTATTTTTGACTATAGTCAGACCGAGATTTCAGCCCTTGAAATCAGCCTCTTATTAAAATGCAAAAGTAGAACATGGTGAAAAGAAAGTTGTGACTGGATTTTTTTTTTTTAATTTTTTTTTTTTTTTTTGGTGATAGGAACATGTAAATTTTCATTCACTCTGCAGCAATATGTTCCAATCTATCTTAGAATTCCTGACCATTTAAAACACCCTGTCCTCTCCAATCCATCCAGTTATTCTTCCTTTCTAGCAAAGCTGCATTACTAAGAGTCATCTTATTTCCTGGTGCAGTTCAGCACAAATATACTGTGTGAGAGTAAGAATAACTGTGCACCAATGCTTTGAACATACGAAGAAATGTTAATGCATCTCTGCAGGCCTCTGATGCTAATGCATTTCATTTATTTATGTGCATCCCTTGTTCTGTTTATTTTAATCATAGAATCATAGAATGGTTTGGAAAGAACCTCAAGGATCACTAAGTTCCAACTCCCCTGCCCCAGACAGTGCTGCCAACTGCTAGAGCAGGTACTAGATCAGGTTGTGAGAATGTCATTAACTACTTTAAAATAACACATGGATTACTTCTGTAATTCATTGCCCTTCGGTACTACCTTACGAAAGTTATGGTGGGAGTTAACTAGCATGGAAATTCCATTGATATCTCACTGCCTACTTAAACTAGACATAGAGCTAAGTAATAACGATATTCCTTCTCACTAAAGTGTGCTGCTCTTTTCTAAGATAGTACAACAACCACTACTCAGAGCCCCCTACTGTATATGAGTCTTACACTCACTAGATAAAAACACAGGAAATGTGGCTCTTTGTCTTGGACCTGGTAACGGAAAGAAGCACAAACAAAGCTACATTCAGCAATTTTTTTTTTACTAAACTAGTATTTCTTCATCTGCTGGTAAAGCAACACAAAAGATGTTGTGTTATAACTCTAATGTTGTTTGATAACTAAATGTGACATCTAAATTAAAAGTTGTATCATGTTAGTATCTAAAATGTCCCAGATGTAGAAAAAAACATTTTTCTCTGGTGTCAGCAGATATATTATCTGGTTTGAGGCCAAAACTCGCCATGGAGGCAGAGACATCCAGTCTGAACACAAAGTAGTTTGGGATGACAGAACTTATTAAGTCCTGCCTTATTAGTATCCATGCTGTACAAATAACTATGATTTTCCCAAGGTCACCACATTCCTCCTTTTTGCCATCATTTGCTGCCTACAAAGTGCCCAAAGGCTACATCTGCTCCTCCACAGGAGCCTGCTGACTTTTACAGAAAATTGCCATGATCTACTCAAAGAAGAAAACACAGAAGAGGAGCCCAGGAAGACAAAAGTTATGTGGGAAAGAAATAATTTACTTTAACTGTATTGGAGGATTTCCTAAAGCCTGAACCACCAGTTACATTTTAAAGAGTAAGTACTTTCTTCATCCATAAATGAAAGCAGGAAAAGACAGAGCTGAGGGAATAATCTGACCTGCTGAAGCTGCGAAGTATAGGGTGAGGGTGCAACTGAGCCATGTGTTGAAAGTAGTCCTAACTTCTTAACTGGTTGTACAGGGCACACAGGGAGGGAAGGTGAGCACTGGCAGAAGCTGGGAGCAGACCCTGTGCCATGGGCTTTGCCAATAATGTTATGCCCCGAGGTGAAAACACCTTTACAAGTTCAAGGATGTTTTCCCAAGATGCTGAATGATAGTTTTCCCGCAGGCTGGTAGGGGTGTCTGCCACTGCTGGCAGCTCTGCACACAGTGTGCTCTGAGAAGACACCCCTCCACTCCCATCCCCACCCAAAGCAGCCTGGGAATGGACTACTGCCAGAAATTCCTCCTGGGCAGGGAAGGAATTTGGGGTATTAAACTCCTGACAAGCACTCCCATACACTGACATGAGCTTCTCTGAGCAGCTACAGTGCCCTGCTCCATCCAGGACTTCATGCAAGACTGAAGCCTCTTGACACTCAGGGCATTAACTGGCTTACCAGGACCCTGTCCCAGTGTTTGAACATCTTCAAAGTAAAGAAATTTTTCCTAATGTCCAGTCTGAACTTCCCCTAGCACCGCTTTTTGCTATTCCTATGCATCCCATTATTGTTTAACAGAGAAAAGAGCCTGGCACCTCCTTCTGCTTCCCCTCTGCATGAATTGGCAGAGGGCATTGAGGTCACCTCTTGGCCTCCTTCTCCCCAGGTTGGGCAGTCGAAGTGTCATAGAATCATAGAATGGCCTGGGTTGAAAAGGACCACAATGATCATCTAGTTTCAACCCCCTGTTATGTGAAGGGTCACCAACCACCAGACCAGGCTGCCCAGAGCCACATCCAGCCTGGTCTTGAATGCCTCCAGGGATGGGGCATCCACAACCTCCTTGGGCAACCTGTTCCAGTGCATCACCACCCTCTCATGGTTCTCGTCCTGCTACCAGCTTTGTTGCCCTCCTCTGGAAGAATTCAAGAACCTTAACATTATTTTTAAACTGTGGAGATGAGAACTGCACAGAGTATTCAAGGTGAGGCTGCACTCAGGCTAAATACAGGGGGAAAAAACACCTCTTCTGATCATCTACATCCCCAAATACAGTTTGCCCTCTTGGCTGTTCAAGCACTCTGATGGCTTATGCTGAACTTGCTGCCATTAGTATCCAGATCCCTTTCTACAGAGCTGCTTCCCAACCACTCAGCTCCCAGGCTTTGTCCATGTCTGGCATTACTCCATCCCAGGTGCAGGATTCATCATTTTCCTGCGTTGAACTTCATGCTGTGGATGACTGCACAGTCCTCCAATCTATCTAAATTCCTCTGCAAGGCCTCTCGTCCCTCTAGAATCAACAGTACCTCCCTCTTTAGCATCATCAGCAAACTTGCTAAGGGTGTATTACACTCCTACATCAGATCACTGATAAAAATGTTGAACAGGGCTGGCCCTAGAATTGAGCCCTGGGGAACATCACCAGTGACTGACTGACAGCCAGATGTACCCCCTCCAACAATGACTCATTGAGGTCCGCTGTTCAGCATCTCTCAGTGTAGCATTTACCTGTTCATCTCACAGTTGGACAGTTTGTCCAGAAGGATGTCACAAGGGACAGTATCGAAGATCTGACTAAAATCCAGGAAGATTATGTCCAGTGCCTTCCCTTCATCCACCAAATGGGTGACCTTATCATAGAAGGAGATCAAATTACTAAGTGAGGACTTTTCCTTATTGAAACCATGCTGCCTATGATAATAGATTTATTCTTTAAATGTCTTTCAGAAAAACCCAGGATAATTCAAGTTGGGAATAAGTTCACCAGTGTATGTCAGTAGGTCCATCATGCCACAGAGAAAAAGGCAGACAGTAATCTTGCTCTGGTCTTTACATCTTTCTCCACAGGACTGCTCAAGAAGAGCTCTTCTTTCTTGCAATTACAGAATGGTTTGTTTATGCCAGGAAGGGGCAATAATGGGAGACAGAGCCTAGCGATGCTGCTTTTCACTCTGTTGGCCAGACTGTAGAGGCTCAGTCAGGTGTGTTCTATCAAAACTATCCTCTTCTAAGAGAAGGCTTGTGACCAAACCCACTAATTCTGCTTCAGGACAGACAGACACAAGAGCAGCTGTAGTATTTGGTGTGTTCCACACTCTGGTCTGGCATCTCTTTCATGAAATAATTCTGTCATAGGGCTTTGTTCACTTGGATCACCTCTAATGCATGCAGATTCAGCTATCCAGCCCTCGGTCTCAGGGTTCAAACACAAACTCATAGCACATTCAGGTAGGAACCTCAAAAGGACTACTGACTTGGGACCAAACTATTATTTTATTCAAGATCAATATCATATTTATTATTATTATTATTATTGTTGTTGTTGTTGTTATTGGGATAATAAATAACTGTTGGGTAATTATGAATAATTATAATTTAATAATAAATAACTATTAGCATAATTATAACTAAAATACAGTAATTACAAGAACTGTTTCTGTGTACTTCTGGTTAGCTATTTGGGGCATATCAAAACTCAGCTGATTGTCATTTCAGTTCCCTAGGTTGCAAAATTTTCTTGGAAATGAAAAAAAGGCAATAAAAAAATGTGGTTTAGTTGGCTCAAAGTTCAGAGCAATCCAGTTCTTAAGTTTCATATTCCTGTTCCTATTTGCATATTACTGGGGAGATGAACATGAAGACATGGAAGAAAAAATAGGCCACAGTTACTACAAGCAGAGGTGTGACATTCTTCATCTCTTCAGCCTGGAGCCAAACCAGTACTTCCTCTGTTACCCCAGGCAGCAGATGTTCTTAATGAAAAAAGATAATTAATAAAACTGATGAAGAGTACAGTACCTGTACAGTACAGAGTGTACATTATTCAAACTGCACGTGTGTTTTAAAAGTAGATACATAAAATGGGCAGGAAGAATTCAAAGAAGAATTTAGGATTAGATAAACGTTTTTGTTTTGACAGAAAAGGCAAATGCAAGCCTCAAGTTGACATTTGTAGTTTTCTTCAGTTAAAAATACATACAGAAATAAAAAGACAATGAAATGTGTTTTAATTCTAAAACTGCAGAATTAAACATCTCCTTCTTCCATGTTCTTTGAAGCTCAGCATAATAACTTACTATGCATAAACTGATCTGCTCATATCTCTACAAATTTCAGAGCAAGACAAAAAGCTGCTGCTTAACTCAGCATATCTAAAGTCAGTGAGAAGACTAAATATATAGTTACAATGAGGCCCTTTCTGCTATCCTCAGATATATCATATGTAAAACACAAGGCATAATATGGAGGATCATGGACCATGGAGGATCAGTTGATTAGACCCATGTCTTTTTCATATTTCTGATAAGTCTTTTCAGATTTATGTTTTCCACCCACTGCAATTAATTTTTAAATTTTATTTTTAGAAATTCACATTTCAAATACTATCATAAGAAGGAGTTTATGTCACTTTTTCCTATTAACAAACAACCTGACAGATACTTCTGGGAAATACCTTTTTTCCTGAAAGTTATCTGTCTCATCTAAAATATGCCCTTGAAAGAACCATGAGAATGTTTCCCAATTACAGAGTCATGCCCGAG